TTGACTGTAAATTAATCAATATGTCTATTGTATGCAGATGCAACAGAGGATTGTCAAAAACCTTTGCATACTCTTGATGATTTTATTTTTCTTGATGAAGATCTTTCTCATATCAATAGGACTGAAGAATCTTATCTAAAGAAAAGAGCCCCTGTTGATCAAAACAAAAAGAAAGTGACACCGAAGAAACGTGGCAGAAAGAAAAATCCAGGAAAGTTAATAACATCTCCCTACACACAACATTTCGAATCTGGAGGAACTTTATGTGTAACACGTCAGTTTTTTGAGACAAAACATCCTTTTTCATATGCAACTGGAGGAGATAATGAATCGGATTTAATCGATTCATTCATTAAGTGGGTCTATATGGGTACAAAGAAAAGGTAATTCATTTTGAAGTTTGTTGGTTAATTTGTTAATATTGAATAACTTACATAATTCATAATAGATACAAGTTTAATTCAATCTATAGAACTCTCTCGTTACCTCTAATTCACAATTAGATACAAGTTTCTTAATTCACTCTTCTTTAGTTTCCTTAGTTACCTCTTTTTTATTTGTTGCTGTCCCGTTTCCGAGTATTTATGTTTTAATTTTTTATGTTTTGATAGGGGAAAGAAACCTTATACAAATGCTCTTAATGTTATCAGTCCAGCATTTGAATTAGGTATTTGTAATGTAGCAAAAAGACACTGATTTTTCAAATTGGCACATTCTGGACAAGAATGGTGTGATGAGGTTAGTTGTATAAAGTTTAATTGGACGTCAATATTTGTTATTCATAACGCTTGCCATTCTAGGAGTCATACTACCTCTGTTGTTGAATTTCCTGAATGATTTGTCTAGTGAGCACCTTAAGTTTCTATTGCTTTACTTGTAGCATGCATTGTAGCCCACTCCAGCTATTCAGTTCATCCTGTGCTAGCTGCTTCTATTGATAGATAGCTAGTTCAATAATTTATGCCAAATCACATTAGACTGAATAGGTGCTGATGTGTTTCAGATTCTGTATTATATAGTGAGCAAATTGAATCACTATGAATTCCCTATTGTTCCGACCTGTCCTTGTTTTTCAACACTTCTTTAGGTAATTAAGAGAAATATTTGTGACCAGAATGCTTGGATAGAGGTTAGAACACATTACACCAACTATAGTCTCCTTGTGTAAGATAACGTCTTACTATCCACATGTTTATCTTTCCCAACATTTTATATATAAGTGGTTGACACTGACTAACTGACAACTTCTTAGAGACTAATTGAATCTTGTGAGAATTTTGTGAATCTTGTGTGTTACAATATCACCTACTGAGTTTCTTGAGGTTAATTGAATGTTTGTTTCTTGAGACTATTTCTTTTTTACATTTCAATTCTAATTTTTTGCAGCATATTGATGTCATTTTCTATTATCTAAGAAAGAAAGGAAAATATGAAGTCAACAGTAATGTTCGATTTACGACTACTGATTGTGTTCAAGACGAAAATTACTACTTCTTTCTTTCAACTTTGTGATGCTCATGAGAATAAGAAGAACTATAAAGTAAAAGATTCTGATGATATTGCCCGGTATATATATGGATGTCGTTTGTTGGCAAGCACTTCGTGGGATAAAGTGGATTATATTCTTTTTCCACTAAACATTAAAGAGGGTTGTCATTGGATTCTTGTCGTGTTTGATATTGTGCAAAGGTTTTTGGAGGTATATGATTCATTTTCGGCAAGGAGTGGGGTGAATTTTGAGGTTAAAAATATTGTTGAGATGCTTTCAATTGTTTTACCATATTACCTGAGTGTGGTCAAGTTCTATGATAAGCGTCCTGAATTGAAGGCAACACCGAAATACAGTGGGATAGATGAGTTCGAGAAAATTGAGTTTCATTTCATAACTAAAGGTGTTCCCAGACAACAAGATGACTCGCTGTAAGTATTATCAAATAGGTATTCTTTTTTGTATTAAGTAGATATTTTGATAATAATTTTATATTGAATTTTTTAGGGACTGTGGAGTTTTCGTTGCTGCATTTGCGGAGTTTGTAAGTAATGGCCAACATATTCTAAATCAACAAGTAAAGGCAGACATTCTCCGAAAGAGATTTGGAGCTATATTATGGGAATATGCAAGAAGGAAGCAAGCGAGTGACCTTCAAAGTGAAGACGAAAGACCGGAAAGATAAAGAAATATAGTTATATTAGTTAGTATGACTGTGAAAACTATATGGTGTAAAAACAGTTTGTAGTTAGTATGG